AAGAGAAATCACTCTGCCCCGGCCCGGCCTTTGCTTACACGGGGCGCGAGCCGCTCCCCTCACACGGACGAGGGCGGGGGCCCGGCCCCAGGGATATGAAGCCGTTCTCGCCCGCGAGAGGCGCCGGTCCCGGCAGACACGAGGCTCCCGCGGCACCGCCCCACGGCGGGCCCCGCCGGCGGCTCCAGCGGCCGCCTCGCCCGCGAAAGCCCCAGGCCCCCTGCTCACCAGCCCGTCGATCTGCACTTGCTTGACGGCCGAGTCTCCCGCGGCGGCGGCCTTGCCTTTGCCCTTGGCGGAGCCGAAGCCGCCGCCGGCAGCGCCCGAGCCTTCCTTGCGCGACGCCATGGCTGCCTGCGGCCGGAAAAGGAAACGCGCCCGCCGGAAGCGCCCGCGCGGCAGCGGCGGTGCGCGGCCAAACGGGCCCGGGCGGGAACGCGGGAACGCGGCACGGGGCCCGGCACGGCGGCAGTGCCGGCTCAGGGCCCGGCCCGGCTCGGCCCCACCGGCCCGGGGCTGCCGCAGAGCCTGGGCCCGGGCCTTGGCATTGGCATTGGCATTGGCCTCGGGCCAGCTCATCCGGCACGGACAGCCGGGAGAGCCTCCCTGCCGCCAGCCCTCCGCACAGAGTCATTACCTTGTAAAACCGCCAAGATGGTGGAGTCCAAGCTGTGCCCAAACGCCCCGTGTCACCTGCAGTGCCGCGTCCAGGCGTCTCTGCAGCACTTCCATCCATGCCGACTGCACTCCCTGGGCAGCCCATTCCGGTGTTTAATCGTCCTTTCTGTGAAGAAATTCTTCCTGATGTCCAACCTAAACCTCCCCTGGTGCAGCTTGTGGCCATGCCCTCTGCTCCTGTCACCCTGGCGCTATTTACCTGGGAGATGAAAATCAAGAAAGGATGTTCTTTGACATTTGCTCTTGGTATATCTTCAAGCCTAATCAACAAGAAAGGAGACTTAACCTGTGAATTAGATAGCAGCTAACAAGGGCTAAGTGATGTCCAGGCATTAGAAATTAAAAATACTTGTTGCCTTATATACTTGCTGCCAGGACTCCCTGCGTTTGCTTAATGGGAAATAAAATAAAGTGACGGGGTGAAATGACTTGGCAAAGAACAGAGCCATCCTAATGCAGACAATCAGTGCAGGTCTGAAGTGGAAGGGCATCTACTGAAGGTGGTTCTTGGCTTTGCTGCTGGATCTTTTTGTGTTTGTTGGTTCAGGCCTTAGAAATTTGGTAACACTATTAATGACACAAGGAGAAAAAGTTCCTTAGGGATAGAAACATTGTTTTTTACCTCATTAGCTTTGCAAAGTTTCAGTAGAACATTGGACAGCTGGAGTGTGAAGGAGAGTGTTGGTACCCTGGTTATGAGGTTTTGAGACAAGCTTTGAAGCCTGCTTGGCATTATAAGTGGTAGTTAAGGACTAGTGCTGGATATGCTTCAATGATCTCAGACCTAGGGGGAAGTTAACAATAACCTTGAGAAGAAGGATTTGCCATTGACAGTGGGCACAAAGAATGCAGAATTTATGGGCCACAATGACATTTGACAGAACCCTCAAGATAAGGAAGAAACTAATAAGGACAAATCAACAACTGTGCTGCATCAGCTTCCATGAGGTAAAAAGCAATTCCAGCAGTGGAAAATCATGACTCAAGAAAGCCACCAACTCAGAGGAAGAGGAAGACTTAGCATACAGACTAATTAACATGAGAAGTGAGAGAATCATTAACCAATAGAAGATAGAACACTAATTAATAAGAGAACTAAGTAACTTCTAATGAATTAACATTAGTGCCTTTGTTAAAATGCATAAATAGTGAAAAGTTTTGGTAGTCATTGTGCTGGCTTTGTGGATTTGCCACCCAGCACCCCTTTCTGCACAGACCTGTAAATAAATGAAATACCTCAGCTCTGTGTGGATTGGCTTCTTGCACACCAGGGGAAAGAACCTGTTTGGTACCACTTAACAGGGAGATGTAGAAAGCAACATGGTCCCCCTTGAGCCTCCTTTTCCCCAGGCCAAACACCCTCAGCTCCCCCAGCTGCTCTTCATCAGACCTGTGCTCCAGAGCCTCCACCAGATCCATTGTCCATCTCTGGACGTGCTCCAGCCCCTCAATGTCCTTCTTGTAGTGAGGGGCCCAGAACTGGACACAGCCCTTGAGGTGTGGCCTCACCAGTGCTGAGGGGAGGGGAAGAGTCACTGCCCTGGTCCAGCTGCCATTTGGCCCCTGGCAAAGCATTTCTGACAGCCCAGAAACCTCCATCTGTGCATTTCCAGGGCCACCTCGGGCAGTTCTGATGCCACAGGGATGTGAATTCCCAGCCCTGTTGCTGGGCCAGCCCTGGGCTGCAGCGAGGGTTCCCCGGCATGGTTGAGGAGACTCTGGTCTTGAGGAAGGATTTACACCTAATAAACCTACAAATGTTAAGGGACATGTACTGCTTATAGATTTGAAAGCTTTGTGTAGTATCTTTAACAAAGGCAAACTGCTGTGGAGTGATGTGAATATCTGTCCTGAGCATGAATAACGATACATCAGTGCAAACTCTTAACATTACACAAGTCCCTGAACTATCAACTTCTCCTGCAATTCTCAGGAATGAGTTTAGGTTGCATTAAAACAGTTGGTTTTGCTGCTCCATTTTGTTTGAGGTAGGGGTTTCTTGTGTGGATTTTTTTAAATTTAATTTCAAACTCTTCAAATTCCTTCTGAAAAATGCAACGCACTGTGAAAGGCAGCCCTACCAAACCCCCCAGATCTGTTCAGACACTATGCCAAATATGTGACTTCATAAAAAATTATCTTTTCAACGATGTAGTTAACATCATTGCTAATTAAGAGTGAGGAACATATTTATCAAGACCAATATTAAAACGTATCTGCATTTGCCTGCAGCCACAGACCCAACATTTGCCTGTTCCTATAAAATGATTCTAACGTCACTTAGAATAGTCCATATCAGTTGCTTCCATTGATGCTGGAGCAAATTGAAACAAAGAATTGAGTATAATAATCACCCCAGCAAGGCAAAACATATCCTAAATTCCACTGACATCACTGACTAAACTGCATTGACCCTAACAAGAAATCTGGGCATCCAGCTTTGCTGATGACACCTTGTGATAGATGTCTAAAGCAGGGTATGATGAATCTCACTTCACATTTTCCATTGGGAAAATAATTCTTAAATGGAGATGAAGGGGCAGTTCAGAATGGCAGCATTGCTGTGTCTTAGATTGCAAGGCAAGATGTATTCTGTTGCCATCTGTTAGAGGTGTGGCAGTTACCTTCTCTTAATCGGACAGTTTTCTTTATCTCTTCCACAAACCAATCCTCCCACCAGAGAGACATCTGCTGTTAATGGGCTATTGAATGTCACTGCATGACTGATAAAAATTACAGCATCCCATTGTGAGATGCTCCTCCCAGAGGGAGGAGGCAAGAATTTCCACCTGGATATAATCCTGAGTTTCTGGAACACCAGCGTGGCTTTTTCTGCACTGGATTTCCCAGAGGAATACCTGCCTCTTCTACTGTATCTTCAGAGGAAGACTACGCCCTTTTCTACAGGATTACTGCTCCCACAGAACCACACCTGACACTCCAGGAGTACTGCAGCCATAATTCCCAATTGGACTGCTGCCAACACCCTGACTAACAGGGTGTCAGGTTGTATTCTGACTCTGTCAGTGTTGTTTTAGTTCACTGCATTGTTTATCTTTTTATTTTCTTTCCTAATAAAGAACTGTTATTCCTGCTTCCATATTTTTGCCTGAGAGCCCCCTTAATTTCAAATTGGTAACAATCCAGAGGGAGGGGGTCTATATTTTTTTTTTCCATTTCAGGGAAGGCACCTGCCTTCCTTAGCAGACACCTGTCTTTCCAAACCAAAGCACACTGAGGTCATATGTGCCTTGTGCCCCAAAGAAACTGAAGTGCGTGTGCAGTGGGATTAGGGGGATTTCCTACAAGCAGTTTGTAGAGAGGCTGATGCAATAATATCCCTGAGCTTCAGGGCAGTGAGCTGTGGCCAGTGAGCTCAGCCATCATGTAGGTGTTGAGTCCTGCCCTTAGGTTTCCATGACCGAAGGCTGCACTCCCACTGGCATTGACTTCTGAAGTTTTCCTAGAGAATGAAGTTAATTCAGTATTATTATTTCACTTAGCTGTTATATTAACACGAATATCCAGTTTTAATTCACAATATAATAGAGTCACAGAATCATTGAATATGCTGAGTTGGAAGGGACCCATCAGCATCATTGAGTGCAGCTCTGGCTGCACAGGACATCTCCATGACTCACACCATGTGCATGAGAGTGCTGTCCCAATGCCTCTGGAGCTCTGTCAGGTTTCATGCAGTGACCACTTCCCAGGGGGGCTGTTCCAGTGCCCAGCCACCCTCTGGGTGAAGAACCTTTTTCTGATCTGCAACCTAAGCCTCCCCTGACTCAGCTTCATGCTGTTTCCTCATGTGCTGTCACTGGTCATGAGGGTGAAGAGATCTATACCTGCCCCTTTGCTTCCCCTCCTGAGGAAGCTGTAAACTGTGATGAGGTCTCTTCTCAATGTCCTCCAGGCTGAACAGACCAAGTGACCTCAGCTGCTCCTCATACAGCATCTCCTCAAGGCCCTTCATCACCTTGGTTGCCCTCCTTTGCCCTCTTTAATGGTTTAATATCTTTTTTATATTGTGGTGACCAAAACTGTCCCCAGCATTCAAGGTGAGGCTGCCCCAGAGCAGAGCAGAGCAGGACAATCCGCTCCCTTTCCCAGCTGGTGATGCTGTCCCTGATGCCCCCAGGACAGGGCTGGCCCTCCTGGCTGCCAGGGCACTGCTGGTTCACATTCAGCTTGGCACTGACCAGGACCCCCAGCTCACTTTCCATGGCTTTGGTCTCCAGCCTCTCATTCTCCTGTCCCTACACAGACAGGGTTGCCCTGTCATGGGTGCACAATCAGGCACTTGCCCTTGTTAATCTAAATCTGTTCAAATAGTTTTAATTAAAGAAAACAAAGAGTAGGAAGTAGTACTGTGGTAATACAGTGATTTTCAACTCCCATCCATGGACTGCTGGAGATCTGTGGAATACTTCAAAGATGTTGTTGAAGGGTATTTGAATAGGAAAACATACCTTCTGAAATTCATAGTGCTTTACCACTGGCAAATTCTTAGGGATCTGAAAAAGAATGAAAACACCTGAGATAATATGAATGTGATGTATTATCCTGACCTACGAAATTTCGGAACAGAAAGTCAATGTAATTAAAAAAAAAAAAAACCCAAACAAAAACAAAACCCCAAACAAAACCAAATAAACAACAAATGAAATAAAACAAAACAAAACAAAAAACCAGCCAACAAACCAATAAAAACCTAAACCAAAAAAAAAAAAAAACCAAAAAAAAAACCAAAACAAAAACCCCACAACCCCCAAAAAACATCAAAAAACCCCAACAAACAGCTAGAGCATGGAACATTACCATGTTCAGAGACATTGCTGTGGGCACCCAAAGTATCCCTATCCAAGGGACTGGCATAGGGCTCGCTACTTAATGCACTACCAGAATAATTGAGTCAATTTTGTTAATTATGATTAACATGAAAAATGAAAAACAAAAATCAACTTTCTACTTTACAAAACTCACCAAATCACTGGAGGCAAGAGGCCATAAAATTTCACCGTTGAAAATTCTGAATTCTTGAAAAGGAGGCTGTGGAAAGGATGTCAGTGTGAAGAATTCAGAAACGTTGCCCAAGCTACTCAGGAAAACCACAAAACAGAAGACTTTAATCACAAAATACTTTAGAAAATTCAAGCAGTGCACAATCTCCATTAATCATTTTTAAATTACACTCTAAATCAAAAGACAGCTGGAACCAACCAAAAACCCTTTAATTCCCCAGTTCTGTTTAAGTTAAAACCTTGGTGAAACTGAGATGTGTCATATCCCCCAAAGCACCTCTGCACCATATCAGAGCTATAAGCAGAACTAGAGTTGCTAAATAGAAATTATCTGATTAGGGTTCAAAGATATAATTCCTTCCAAATCTTCAGACTTGACTTTACCTTAAGGGCTAAACCAACTTGAGTTTCATTTATGTATGCTGCAGGCTAAGACCGTGCACCAGAGATGGGCTAGCCTGCAATGACTTGTTACCACTTGGTAAATAGGTCATGTCTGAATTCTGTGTTTTTCTTCCCTGCCCTCTCAGCAATTCCAAGTATTTCTAAGCATAATGAATACTTTAATTTCATTATCACAAAGTGTAGAGGAATAGGGAAGAATCACTTAGGATACACATAGCAGTTTGTACTTGCACTGAGACATAACAACACCCAAATACAAACTTGCACAAATAACTTGAGTTGCCTAAAACAACATTAATTATGTTAAAAAGAGAAATTATTGTTTCCAGTAAAATAATCTGCAAAAAGAGAATTAATTGTTTCCAGTAAAATAATCTCCAAAACTAGATGGCAAAAGATTCTCCTAACACAAAATAGCCATATAATATCTTGCAGTTTACAGAAGTTTCAAGCTCAGAAAATCTCAGTGTTCTGAAAGAGGTGCTCTATTCAGGCTCAAGCTTTCAAACATGGGAAAATACAGGCTTGTGACACATCTCTATAGGAATACATTTGTGACCTTTTTCAGTGTGCCACAAAGGGAATGTACTTATGCTGCCTCAGCAGGCCAGTGCACTGCTTACAAATTAAGTAAGAATCCAGCTCCTTTTCCATGTAAAGTAAGGCTTGTATGTGGGAGGAGTGTAGTGATTTTAAGGCTGTACTTAATCCTCATGTTCAGGCATAAAGCTGTTCTACATAATTCTATGCTTGGCATGGCCTCTACTCCTTTTGAAATCCCTTTCTAATTCACAGGACACCTTTTGATAGGAGTCTTTCCTTTACATGCCACTCCCACATCCTTTTGAGAGAGTGAAAGTCCTAATGACAAGAGGTCCCTCTGTATCTGTGAAGATATCTGTGGTGGGTTAACCATGGCCAACAGCCAAACACCTACTCAGCTCTCATCCCTCAGCATGGGGGAAAAACAGAAGGCTAGCAAGAAGACCCATGAATAACATTTCCAAAGCCATGGAACAGACAAGACCCCTTAAATGCTCATTCTTTTCTTACCTTTGTTTTCCCCCAAAAAAGATGTAACAGGAAACCTCATGTCTCACCAGCAGATGAAGTTGTGCCAGGTGCAACAGTATAGAAGCTATAACTTCAGTTATGTTCAGCAGCCATGTGCAGGGCAATTCCAAATTCCAGCCCCAGGCTTGTGTATAAGCCTTGTGTAATTCAGGAGTTTCAGTGATTTGTGTCCTGCTGACCACAGCAATTTAAGACTCAAATAAATAAAATATCCCCAGGCATACCAACCCATGTTAAGGTAGGTTCTTCCTGATACATGAGGCAGGACTCCGTTCCCAATTTGTTCAGATATCACTGATCACCAGCTGCAATTCACTGAAGTCAGGACTTTTGCATACTTATTTCTACAGCATTTACAACATTCTGTTTCACTGATAAATAATCCCCCTCTGAAGTGTCAGGTATTCATCTAATGTTTACTACTTTCCACAGAGGAGCTCAGTGGGAAAATTTAAGATCAGGTTACATAAATTCATGGGCATTTTGTGCAGATGGATTTTTAATTACTATTATTTCTCATGAGGCTAGCTGTGATTTTGGAAGTTAATGATACCAATACTCAGGTCTATTCCACTTTTTTTTTTTCTACTTTTCTTCAAGACAATCAAAGTGAAGGAATTGGTTTTATTGGTGTTGTTTGTTGTTTTTGGGTTTTTTTTTTTATTTGAAGTAGGAAATGGAAACTAATAAGGTGCAGGAGAGAGAGAAAAATTGTAAAAGTAGGAGCTGCAACAGCATGGAAACCCCCAGGGACAAACATCAAATGCAATAAGGAACTACGGGACTAGAATATAAACTTGGAAAATTCAATTTCTCTTGTGTAAGAATGGAGGTTTCAGAGGCCATTGAAGGTTTCAGCCATGCTGTTACACAGGCAACCTTTTAGCATTTACTGGACAGAAGTATAAGCATTATACTAAAATAAAATGGACAGCAGCATAATAAGGTATTTCTGCATGTGAAGGAAATATTAAAAAATATAAGCTCTTTCCTTGAGAAAGTTTGGGGTTTTTTCACCACTCAACCTTTTTTCTCCATTTTTTTCAATAGATGTTTTCCAATAAGTGCTTTTAGTTACCTTCTATTCTTACTAACTTTTATGTTTCAAGCTATTTTTTATTATTAATGGATCATTTACTACTGCATCTCAAACCCATTAGCATGCAGCTAACAGGAGAAAAAAAATTACAAAGGAATTAACAATAAAATTGCCTAATTAAAAATGCATTTGACAAAACAAACTAAGACATTTTAAGTGCTAATTCTGGCCTGGAAAACAAAGACAAGGTATTTCACAAAGTTATCATATGTTTCTAAGCAGAGCTAAACTCTTTTCTAGAGTATCAAGTTAGAAAAGTATGTAATTGTAGGGAGCATGTATGATTTATTACCACACTGTAAAAATTCCACTTCTCTGTTCCCAGTAAACTGATTTCTCCCTGAAATCAATGAAAAGGTGCAAAGATACATATAGTATTGCAGGCAACTGAATTGAGTTCTCTAGCATAAATCAGAATTTTGGCCATAAGTTAATTTCTTGTTGGAGGTAGGCTTCTCACATAATTTCTCTTTTGATGTCAATTTGTTCAGCCTTCTCTTCATAATCAGTTAATTAATCAACCAATTAATTGACCCTTCTGATTCTTGATGACACACAAGCCATCCCATGATGAATATAACAACCTATCTCTAAGGAGAACAAGAACTGAGGAAATGGAAACAAGCATACCAAAAATCCAAAATGTTTTATGTCTTCTGAGCTTCCTGTCATTGCCAAGGTAAGACCATGTAGGTGTTCAAGACAGCTAAAATGGTCTTAAACTTACTTTGCATCAGAAACAGTAAAAGGGGGAGAGGGATGTTCTGCTCAAAATGAGCCAATAGGTACAATAGGAGATGGGGTGTAAAGCATCACTCTTTTATTCCCCTCTCTTGCACATCAGGTGTAGGATAGTTAGGGTTTGGCAAGGTATCTTCCTCTCTCCTGTGTTCTTCACAATTCACAAATTGAAATTACAATTCCAGTCCTGGGTACTCCACTAAGACTTCCTATTTTTCTACATTATGGCACTTTTACGTCCTTCAAGGGCTTATACAAGTGAGTACAGAGGGACCAGTACTGCAGTATGTCACACGTGGTGCAGAATGGCAGGTAATTGGTGCAGATCTTGAGGAACAGTGCAGGGAGGGAAGGCTGCTCCGAAACAATGTCCTTGTGTGTCCTTACAGGAGTATGAAACCAGTTGTTTAACATGTACATCATAAAGAGCTGCATCAACCAAAAATGCTGCATAAACTAAATTATGTGCATCAGAGATGTGTATCTATCTAGAAAGTTTAGCTACATTGGATAAGATCTGATTCTGTTCTGATCTGTTCTGATCTTTCATGTGAATTTAGTTCAAGGTCAAAAAAGACAGCAAAGCTAGTTTAATGTTTGAGAAACTGTCAAGAATCCCGCTGGTTATTTTCATCCCTCTAATTTCTTTCAGCTCTAGTAAGAAAGGTAAAGTTGCCTGCAAAATCTTTGTTCTCCAGAGCATTCTCAAAATGCATGCTACTATAAGCAGTCACTTAAAACCTGCATTGATATTCTCTGTATTTTATTTCTTACCCTTGTGAAACTAAATATGCTGATCTCTACGTTAATTGTTTGCTTCTTATGATACACAATTTAAAAGACAGTTAATGTGGGACATACAGTGATGGGCCATTACTATGGTAACAGTAGAGCCAGAAAAGCAGAAGGCTTTGTCATACACAAAATTCTCATCTGCTGAAATCATACCAACTCATGAAGGAAAAATAGAACTTGTCACAGCTATGGTTATTATAAATCCAGATACTGCATTCCCATGAAATATCAGAAAAATGGGCACTGTAAAAGAAGAGTGTGCATGATAAAGACTAAAATTCAAAAGCTCAATACCAACCCCAAGGCAATGAAAGGAGGGGCCACCAATGAATAATATACATTCTGACAAATACAATTTAGCAGTAATTGCATCTGAATCTTCTTCTATGGCCTATACATACCTCAGAAAAATTTTCAAAAATACACCTAGGAAAGTATTTTCAGATACCCTCCAACAATAATTTATGAGCTGTGTTTATTACAGTTTTGTTTATTTTTAAATGTTGAAATTGAAAACCTTACGCTTTTCTTTTTTTGTAAATCAGTTCATTTCCATATTTAAGCATGGTACTAAGACTTACTGCAGATAACCACTCAGCACATTTGCACAAAGCAACATATCAGATTAAAAAGGTCTGAAACAGGACAACTTTGGGAGAATCACAAGCTATTTTCTCAACAAGCTACAAGCATTTGACAAGTGCCAGCTATTAGGGGAATTCCTTGTTACTAGGCCTACATCAACGCTCCTTAGATTCAGAACAGCTTTTACTTCAAGTAATCCATGTCACTGCAATTTTGTTATTTAATTCTACTACTGCATTACCTAGCACTCAAAACCAGAGCTGAACTCATTTATGCCAAGAGATAGTCTGCTCTGCAGAGAGCTAATCTTCTGCTGGAGCACATTTTGTGTGCAGTGTGCCCAGTGAAGACCAGCTTCCTGTGATGTCTGGTTCACCTCTGCACAGGCTTGGGAAGTTCAGCATGAACATCTCCTCCCACTTTGGCTACAGAGAAAGAAAGTCTTCTTCTTCAGTGACACCTTTTTTCATAAATACTGTCTATTTACCTTCAAGGTATTAATATTATTGATAAAGACACAGGAACTGTTTTGTCAGATCAGAACTGTACCCAGAAACTTGTATCGTGTCTGGCAGCAAACAAGAACTTGTATTTCAGAAAAAGAAGTTCCTCATTTCAAATTCTGTTTCCTGTCCTTGGACAAAGGAAGCCACAATAATAAAGGTAATAATCTTAAAACAACCTCAACATTGCTCCTTAGGCTCACTTCTGAAATGACACTGCTGATAGGCAGGCTACTGAAGATGCAAGTGGTCTGTTAGTGCTTCAATAAAATGTTCACCTTAAAAAAAAAAAAAAGACAAAACCAAAACCAAACTCCCCAAAACACTAGAACACGCAAAACCCCAAACTCAAAGTCTTTTGGTGGTGCAGCCAGATAATTGATTAAGCTTCTTAATTAAAAATACAATGGCTAGAAATTTCTAAAACATAACCTTTCCCTGAGCTTTATGACAAGCTTTGCTGTGCTACTGACAGTCTTTGTAAGGGTACGTGGAAAGTAAAAGCATCTGGCATTTGTTTAGTATAAAAGATGACAAGAGGGCATGTGAGCTATGAAACACACACAGGAGCACAAAATTTGCTGAATAAGTAGATGGTAATGTCGATAAGAGTGGGGAGCAGAGGCTTTGAGGCCATTAAAGGAGCAACCCAGGAAGACACCCTGAAGAGGGTCTGTTTGAGCTTTGTCTCTGGTAAGAATACGAAAACATGGTTATCCATGAATTGACAATCCAATTGATAACACCACAAGGTATTTCAGGGGGTGTATAGCACTATGTAAAATTTCTTATGGTGTATCAACAGGAGTCTGCAAAATTTTCTACAGAGTGTTCACAGAACTGGCCAAAGACAGGGAAAGAGAGGATCTAGGAAGACACATGGGAAAATGAGCTGTAAGGGGACTCACATGTGAGCTGGCAGCATTCAGTACATTTTTCTTACTGAGCTCTCTGCCTGATCACAGCAACTAGTCCTATCTTTTTATAAAGCTTGTTTCTAACTCTTCTTTTGCACCTAAATATCCCACACCAGTGAATTTAATCCTGTGGATGTGTAATCTGCTATCAGATTTAAACTGGATTATCCAGTGAGCCGGAGACACACGTACATGCCCAGGAGGGCCAGGGTCCAGGCATGGGCATTGGAGGGACTGAGGGGCCATGGGGATTTGTGAATGAAGGTGTTCTGGTGAGTACAGGGAGCGAGGATGTGTGAGCGATCCCTGGGCATTTCAGTCCTGTTCAGCTGG